AGTGGATTGAGTGCAAAAAAGGAAAGAAGCCAAACGGGTCACCCTCCCACGTCCACCTCCCACACCTTCCAAGTCACCCACCTCACTGATTTTCATTTTTGCATCCACACACACCCCCCCAAAAATTTCATACCGTCCGCACCTCACTCAGATGCTTTGATCTTGGACCGCGGTGACCTCCAACTTTCTTGTTCTGCTTCGGCCAAGTCCTCTCTTCTCTATTCTACCACCCAAGAAGTCGAGGTACTCGTTGAACCCTACCTAACCTTACCTACTCGACAACGCGAGCAGAAACACAAGCAACTTGCCATTCGCAGTCACCTGCATCGATACCGTACAGTATCGAAGTATCCTACCCTTCGTGCCTTCCTTGCACAAAAAGGAAGAAGAATCCACCGGTACACCACCATCCCACCCTGGTCTGCTTCCTGCCCACCTTTCCCTTCGTCACCTACCGATCCATTATCCGTCAACCAGGATTCCGACCAACGGCCAACCTCCCACACTTTCTCCGAAAAAGGCCCTTCACCAAGACCAAGCCGGATCCACTCCTCCCAGAAGGGGCGACGTCCAAATCCACTTCTTCCCTTTTTTCCCCCCTCCACCTCTTTGGACGGAGTGACCATTGCTCAACGGTTCCTGCCTCTCACACCCTCGGCACCCACCCCGGCAAGACCACTTTTTTCCTTCCCACTCACACACCCCTCTTTCACACCCCTCTCGGCGGCACCAGGTACCTGACAGCTTTTTTTTTTTCTTGCCGAAGAGCAACGCGAGAGAAAAAAAATAAAAAGGATCGGGGCCCATCTGCTCCACTCCCGACCCTCCCCAAAACCACCTCCAAACGGGATCAACTGGAGCCTCATCCCACCACAGAAAGTCCACCTTACAAACAACACCTCTCAGCGCGTGTTGTCTTCTTTGGGTTCGCGACTTCCTTCATTCGTCTGGCGGAAAGCTTATCCTGAAGAACTTCTCGACTGTGCATCACTACACTCGAGTTTACTTCTCTTTTCGCCCTTGCATCATCATCTCAACTGGGTCGGCGACTTGACTGTCCTTGTCCCACAAAATTTTTACACGAGACCCTCGACGAGTCCCGTAAAGACAGACGTGAGAACGCGTCTCGATCTCGCAACAAGCAAGCTGCTCTGTGCGCCTTTGTCTCGACAAAAGGCCAACAGACCTGCCGCGGATAGCATGGACGCTTCCCAGTACCCTACCAATGGTATAAACACGACCTCGGCCTCCTACCCGTCGCCCCCCGCCATCACGCCTCATCAACTTCAGCACACCAACTCCCCGCTGCCTCACCAGACTCTGCCGCCTTTGCAGCCGCAGACCTCCGCCGCCATGAACCAAATGTACGGCAGCAACCCTCACACACCTCGCACTCCTGCGACGCCCAACACTCCGGGCTCCCAGAACAACATGCCGCCGTACCAGCCTCAGCAGCAGCAGCAACAGCAGCAGCAGCCTCGCGGTCCCTACCAGCAGATGGGCCAGTACCCTCCCCCGCCTCAGGCGTACGGCACTCAGTCCATGCTGCCCCAGACCACGATGGCTTCTTCTCACCCGCAGCCCATCGCGCCTGCTCCCGCGTCTGGACGCGTTCCTCCTGTCCTGCGTCCCATGCCTGCTGGTGGTGTCATGCCCCAGCCCGGTATGAACTCTCCCTACGGCCCCGGCGGTGTCATGCCCGGTGGCATGGGCGAGGCTGACCAGCCCACGCACGTTGTCGGCTCTCAGGGTCGCCGTGGCATTCTTCCCAGCGCTCCTGGCCGCCCTGCCGCTACTCCCGCTGGCGCCGGCAACACCAAGAGCACTGTGATCCCGGTCAAGGATGCCGATGGCAAGTTCCCTTGCCCTCACTGCACCAAGACCTACTTGCACGCGAAGCACTTGAAGCGTCATCTTCTGCGCCGTAAGTCATAACCTATTACTAACTCACGCAGCTCAGTCCCTTTACTGACGCGGATTGCGAATAGACACGGGCGACCGCCCCTACATGTGTGTGCTGTGTCGCGACACTTTCTCGCGAAGTGACATTCTCAAGCGTCACTTCCAGAAGTGTTCCATTCGCCGAGGTAACCCGACTGGTGCTAGTCACTTGTCTCACCCTCAGGCTCATGTCAAGAAGAACGCTGCTGCGCAGAAGGCGGCTCTTGGTCAGGATGGCGGTCTGAACCACCTCAATGGTCTGGGTAACATGCCTGCGGATGGCATGGTTCAGCCTTTTGGTATGATGCCTGTGTCGGACGGGATGAGCAACCTTGCGAACGATCAGAGTCAGTTGTCGCGCGCCAGCAGCCTGACTAGGCTTGATAATGGCAGTAACCAAGACAGACGGGATTTGACAGGATCTGTCATGGATGCTTCTGGCCGAGGTGGCAACTTCGAGCAGGCATACAACGGCAATGTCCCTAGCTCCATGACGCCCAATATGAATCAACAGATGCAAAACTACAATATGCCCCCGGGTCAAAATGGAATGTCCATGTATGGCGGGTCGAACTCGAACCAACAATCGGGCCTTGATTGGTCTCAAATGTTCCAGGCTGGTGCGCAACAAACCTACGCAAATCATACTCAATTCCCCCCTAATCTTGGACAGACGCAGATCGCAACCAAACCAGAGCCTAATACCGGCGTTGAAAGTACAGAAGGTCCGCTTGGCCACTCCAACCACCCCGATTCCCTATTTTTCTCGACCTGGGACGTGCCGCCATCGATCCAAGACCCTTTTACCCATCTCTCCAACCAGATCCTCAACTTTTTTTACCCTCCAGGTTCCCCGATTACCGATGAAAGCGCCGGCTTCAACCTATACTTCTCCGCCGAAAACATACGCGACTTCTTGGAAAAGTACACTCATTTCCATGTCCATTTTCCCATTCTCCATACACCCACCTTCCGTATCATGGAAGCCTATACTGGCCTGTTGGCTGGCATGTGCTGCATGGGCGCCTGTTACTCTGACCGTCTTTCCCCAGATCACGTGCGCGATATGATGAACTTCCTCAAGTCCGCACTTGTTCGCGACGTGCAGTTTTTGGCCAACTCGGTGGGCCAACAGCAGAATGGTAACGCTGACGCTGGTGCCTCAAGTAACGGTCATCGCGACCTTGAGCAACTCCAAGCTGTGATGCTGCTCCAAATTCTGCTGATCTGGAATAGTACACCGCGGCACCGTGAGAGCGCTCGTGAGATTTTCCCAGCCATGGCGGAGCAGACTCGTCGTCTTCGCCTGTTGGAGGTCTCCACCAGCACGCCCCTCTTCAGTCCGCTGCACCAGAGCAACTTTACCCCTCAGAACTTCGATGTCTCCACATTCGATTGGGGTGTGTGGGTTGAACAGGAAAAGCGGATACGCCTGATGCACATCATCTTCCTCTGCAACTCCGCCATGGAACTTTATTTCAACGCCCAGTCTCAACTTGACAGCTTCGAGATGCACATCCCGCTGCCATCTGATGATGCAGCGTGGGACGCACGGACGAAGAAGGATTGCGAGGATGCTCTGGGCTTACACGGAGATGAGTTGGCACAGCAAAAGAATTCAAATGGAACACGGCGCAGCAAGCAACCGGAAATGGACTATGCTCTCCAAGCTTTGCTTCACGGATCCTACCAGATTCAGCCAGGCAGAACGAATCTTTACGGAAAGTTCATCTTGATTCACGCCATCCTGTCCTTGATTCGACGAGCTCAATTGGACGGTAGTGCCGTGATGAAGGGTTACGCGACTCCACCAATGAGTGACTGGATGGTGAATGGTGGATCAGATAACGGCATCAGCAGCGGCAGGGCAACACCTGTCGATCCCGCTTTGCAGGGCATTCCGGTACATGTGCACGAGTCGTTCCGCATGGCCCTCCAAAAGTTCAAGACCAACTGGGATACCGACATGGTCAACCAATTTCCTCCTGGATCAGCGAAGAACGTCCGTAGGTATGGTTTCTCTAGGGACGGCATCCATTTCTACTGGCTTGCCAAGTACCTGTTAAAGCATACCCGGTCATCAGAGCTGCAGATGGAGTCGGATGCGCGTTTCATGCAGGTGATGCAATTATTGAAGTCGGTGAAGGCATGGGTATTGTCGGATGGGGCGTCTAGGGGTGAAGATATGGGATCGGTTGGAGAGATCGACAAGGATTTTGGAGTGTCGAATCTGACACTCGACATGGCGCGACTTTTCAAACCTCTTCCGGCGGTGGTGGAGGATCCAGGAATACCTTCTGTGCAAACGAACATCGGCACAACGGGCGGCGGCATGCTTTGACATTCACAAAAAAAACCTACTGCATTTGGTCGGCGTTTTGTTTCTTTTTACTCATTTTCATCTTTTTTGTCTTGTTTCCTCACGGATCCGTTCTCATCAACTCATATGCTTTGTTGCGGAAAAGCATCTCGATTCCCTCTTGCATCAAAGCCGGATTGACGGTGGTTACTTCTGATATGCATCTTGTGGCGGGTGGTTTCATGCGATAGACGGGGAGGTGGAGTTGGCACTGCATTAGACTGCGATCAGATAGAACTTGGGAGGCTCTCGGGTGGCACCAGCGGTGGCCCGATGAGGTTGTCACGATATTCATGGCTTTTCGCTCATAATGACTTGTTTCGGCGGTTTGCGTGGCTAGGCTGGTCTGGTCTAATGTTAGATGTCTCAAAATGGGTGGTACTCGTCCTTTTTATCGCGACAACGAAGAAAAAACAAACGAGATGCAGAGGCAACACTGCCAGCACAGTTTTTTTCATTGTTCTTTTGAACTAGTAGCATGAACTTAGACATTAGAATCTGCAAAAATCGACTTGACTGTATAAACTCAACAACCAACCACCTTGGCCATGCCTATATCTTACATCTGGTGAAGACTGTCTCTAAATCACTTAGACAATGGTGACACCATGTTTTCCGTCCTCAATAACAAGATCCAATCATCTTCTTCCCCGAGTAATGGACGCCCTGCTCACCCGCTCACTCACTGACTACACTCGCTTCATTCGGACCTATCGACGACGGTGACCTTTGGGACGTACTTGTCGACCACGGCCTTTTCCTCGGGCGTGGGTTGGTACTTCTCCTCGGCCCGGTCGGAGAAGTAGAGGCCTGCGCCGCCCCAGGCCAGGACCGCGACGCCGAAGCCCAGGCGGGTCTTTGGGGTGAGGTTCTTGTATGCCCTGTAGGTGCCGCGTGGGGGGTCTTGTGAGTATGGTGAAGGGTTTAGGTTCCCGAGTTTGGGGGCCGTGGGAAAACGAGCGGGGACGGGGGGAGGAGAGGAGAGTGGAGGTGAGGTGATGGGGCTGAGGGCTAGGGTCCCGTGGCGTGCATGAGCTTACTTGAACATCTGGTCTTTGGCGAGGCCGTATGTGAGATGGAGCGAGAATGAGGATTGTTGGCGGGTGTGGTTGAAGGGGGTCCTGCGTAGAGAGGATACGGCGCTTCCAACCCAGCTTCTGAGGGAAATTCCGCCAAAAGAGGTACCGATATGCAAGGTAGACACGAACGTGGATTTTCCCGCTGATGAGATTTCTTGAGGTTCGAGTGAAGGACTGGACGTCGGACGCGGCGGTAGCTGATGGAAAGCAGCTTTTTTTTTTCTGTTGCGTAGATGAGCTGGGGAAGAATTGATGTTGGAAAAAGCTTGATCGTCATTGGTTGACGAGACTTTGGGCGATGGAAATAGTGGAGACGCGAGAGGACGTCAAGGCTTCCTGACTAGGAATTCAGTTTTTGACACTTTATTGCTTTCGGAGGATTTGGAAATAACTTCGCTGAGCGGAAGATTTCGGACTTTCAACTTGTATTCAAACACATGAGATGATGATAACTAAGAACTCTTGGCGACGCTGTGTGAAATCTTGCCAAGCTTGTATTCTCCCCCTTCAATCACCGCCCTGATCCCTCGGCGCTCGTGTGGAACGCCGTCTTCTAGATTCATGCTTTGCCCTTATGTTTTTGTATACAAATCGCCCGTATCTCTCTTGGCGTATGGTATCACGAGGCTTGACGAATGGAGTGGGGATGACATCCGCCGGATCCGCTGAGCTTAAGGCAAGCGAGCGGCTTCAACATCAGCGAGCCTAGCTTTTCAAAAGAGTTAGTTTGATTTCCACCGGGTAACACTGAGAGACATATTTTGTGTCTCTGAAAGGGGGCGTATAAGCAATTTCGGGGAAAAGGTCAATGAGCGTGGTAAGCCCCATTGCGACGGCGAGAATGAGAAGCCCAATGAACATAGGATCGTTTATTTGGAGCTTCCGAGAGATATATCGTTGGATATTTTGTTGGTTATGATATCTTGTACGCTTCTCACGGGGGGAGATGGGCCTTTAGACCTTTGGGCGTGACGAATATGTGAGCTCGAGAGCCTCAAGGGGGGAGTCAACCAAGCAGATGAGATAGCGGGCTTGAAGACCGTGGTTGAGATAGCTGTATAGAATCGAAAATTTCGGGAGCTGGAGATGATTCGTGATGAGGAGGAGAATGGGAGGAACATATAATGCCTCCGCACAATAAGTGCGCGCGCCGTCTGCCCTTTGGGCAGTGGGCAAGCTGCAGCGCGACCTTTTGAAGAATACAGAGACGATGTATCCAGGTTATCTCCTCTACACCTCCAGATTGATAAAGGCGATAGGCTCATATGCCTACTTATATCAAAGACTGATGTTCAAACCCAGCTTTTGGCATCACCGTCGTTAGGTAGCAACAAGGTATGCAGCCAAGGCACGTCTGAATGGCCAGAATGGTGGCAAGAAAGAGCTCAACGACGGTGCGACTATATTTCACGGCGGTTACTATGGCACACATACTGGGATCGTATGCGAACTCGAACTTGTATGTTATTGAAGGTAGGCTGCAACACGGCCATGATTGAGTGTTGACCTGTAAGAATATCACCACTCCGTTTGTCCTGGCCAACCGACCTACGAAGACGCCTGCTGTTGCTAGTGCCAGGACTGGATTGAAAAGGCCTATATGGACTTTGTCGGTCTCGTAGTCATGCGGAAAAAAGCACATGGCGAAATTGTCGATGGAATATACCAAGAGCACCTGGTGGCGCAAGTGTAGCTGTGCAAGCTATACGGCCTGAGCACTGCTCAATTGGCTTCCTTTGCTTGGCAATGAGTGAGACATGGGTCAGCTTGACGAGTGTCTGGGAATTAGCTGGCGATTGAGTCCGTAGAGATCGACGTTTCACTATATGTAGTCAATAGATACATATTCAATGGCCTCGTTGATCCAGAGGGCGAGCTTCCGACGGAGATGACTGCTGTGGGGCGATTGGCGAGCACCAATGGAGAAACAAGGCATATTTTCGCCACTGAAAGTCTCGGATCGAGTTTGAGCAGGGTGTTCATGTCGTTCTCTTAGGAATAGCTGAGCAAAGGGCTTGTCGAAAAGTGCCGCGTAGCAAGCCGGGGGAGTTACGTGGTTAAGATTGAGTGCAACGAGTAGATGGCCTCTATCACCAATTTCCACGCTAAGAATCGATGAAAAGAAAGACTCAACTAGAATATATGATCGGAGCAAAAACATGGAGAAGGATGATAGAAGCTTCAGGTGAAGCTAGGGTTCAGCAAGATCGTAGGACGTTAAAGAAAGAAGGAGGACAGGAGGTTGTATCCAAGCCACACAAGAGTTTGTCAAGCCACAAGTCTGTAACTATGCTTGACAGCCGCACAGACCCATCCGGTAGCTCGTTCACCCGCAGCCGCAGCGATCCGGCGTGTGATTGGTTGGAGGCTTTCCCAAATTTCTAAACTGGCGAAATAGTACGAGCTCTCAGAAAGGGATTCGTGATCCTTACCAGCATCCACGTTGACACCAATTGCCAGAGATGGCGAACCCCAATGCGATGCGGCCGTCGATAGGTCGCGTATTGCGCCTCCAGGAGACTCGGCAATGGCTGTCCACGACACCCGCGACGGCCACCCAACCCCGAACCGCAGCGGCATGCTTCTCGACTTCGGCTGCGCACTCGGTGCGCAAGACCCGCGACAACAATCGCCTCCGAGGTGTCAGTACCATGAAGAGATCCGGTCCCCGTGAGCCGCTCTCCGTATCATGGGAGACGCTGCCCAAGCCGTCAGACTACAAGCGTGAGGTTCCTACGGACCCGAACCACGGGCTCTGGGACTTTTTCTACGGCAAGAACAAGCTCTTGAACACGCCCAAGGAGGACCAGTCTCATGGCCGTGCATGGACAGTGGAGGAGCTGAGAAAAAAGAACTGGGAAGACCTCCACTCGCTGTGGTATGTCTGTCTGAAGGAGAGAAACCGCATTGCGACGACGAGTCTCGAGCGTGAGAGACGCAAAGTCGGTTTCGGAGGATTCGAGGCCAACAGCAGGGACGAGACGGTTCGTATTGTGTCTACCACATGACTTTTCGGAGATGGCTGCTGACCGGCGCTTGTTTAGGTTGTCACGACAATGAAGGCGATCAAGCACGTCTTGACCGAACGTTTTTACCTCTGGGAGGATGCGCGCAGATTGGCCGAGAACGACCCCGAAATCAATCTCTCTGGTGAAGGAGAGGCATACACGCCGCTGGCAGGATACGAGAATATGGAAGAGGGCAACAAGTACCTCGCCGAGGAGGTAGAGGCCGCAGCTGTCGAGTCACCAGTTATCGAGGCTCAAGCCGTCGAGGCGTCCGTCGAGCCTCAGGCAGAGAAGAAGGAAGCCGCGCCTGTTACGCCAGAGGCTGAGGAAGAGGTCGAGGTCAAGGTGAAGCCACCGCACCCGGCGAAGAAGGTCAAGCCCAGCAAACCGGTTGAGAGCAAGCCTGCGCCGGCGATGCCCAAGCCGAAGATCTGAGCGGCTCTGTTTGTTGTCTCCCCATTCAGCGCGAGGGTCGCAGACGGGAGAGTCATGTATCATTGTATCCAGACATGTATAGAATCTTGTACGATACGAATATTTTGTGCCAGGCGTATTTTGGAAGTCATTCCCCAGACATCACTCTCACTCTTGACACCGCTAGCAACATGCAATTGTCGACGAAGATTTAGAGCGTGCGTGATACAACAGCAACGCTTGCCATGGTCAACTTGAGAAAGGATTGAATAAGATCTACAGAAAGGTCTTGCATAACAGAGAGAAACTGAATAATAGATGAGACTTGTATTCGCATAATGTTACAGAACTGGGACGGGGAAGGGCGGGAGCTGGGTCCTTGTAGCAGGGACAAGCCCACTCACACCGCCGAGGGCGCCAGGTACACGCAGAGCAGACAAAAGTCGAGGTACCTTTTGAGCTAAGGTACTTGCAACTTTACGGCCTCGGTCGGTCCATGTCCAGTCTGCTAGCGGTGAGCAAGTGGCCAGCATAGTTTGCAGTAAGAAGAGCGGGCGGAGAGCGGACCTTGCATGGGCCATTTGGAGGTACAACTGGAGCCAGGACGGGCCCCCCCAGCGAGCATTGGCACTGGTCACTGGCCACTGACCACCGGGCTGGCCCCCAGTGACACTGGACGCTTGATGTGCTGCCGCATGCACTGCTGAACCCCTCCATGTCCCTCCAAAACCCAACTGTTTCTAGCAATCTACGGCAAAGTAGGTGGCTCTTGCCCCCCCACTTGATCCTCCTTTGCTGCATGTTGCTCCCCCATGTCTCTTCTTCACAACACCGCAACTACTTCTCCGGACATCCAACACTTCATACTTTTCTCTTCCCTTCTCCTCCCGCTGCGAAACCACCGACCGACTTTAATATAACAACAACCGTCACACACGCACATACCCCTCAGCCGCAACCATGGATGAGATTGCAAAGGAATACGATGTCATCGTGCTGGGCACTGGTAAGTGACGTTACGCCATCCTCCTTTATTTGCCCCGCATCGTCGCTCGTCGGCCTGTGGGGTCCCCGACTGCTCGACAGAGCTTCCTGGCTGACCGGTCGACCTCACCGTCCTCTCTCTTCAGGTCTGACTGAGTGTGTTCTTTCTGGGTAAGCAAGCTATTGTCTCCATCGCTCACTCAAATGTTCGCTTCGCTAATCATTATTCTCCCGGCGCAGTGTCCTCAGTGTGAAGGGCAAGAAGGTCCTCCACATTGACCGCAACGACCACTATGGCGGGTAAGTCTTGCTCCTCCCAGGCCGCGATCTGGCCTTCCACCCATGAAGAACCTAGCTAAACTTAACCAGTGAGGCAGCTTCGGTTAACCTCGAGACGGTATGACACCCACGACTCTTCCCTACCCTCCCGTCCGAATGGGGTTCTAACCCAACAAACTTGCAGCTCTACAAGAAGTACGGCAACTACGCAAAGGGCGAGGAGCCCTGGACGAAGTATGGGCGTCTGAATGACTGGAACATCGACCTTGTCCCCAAGTTCCTCATGTCTGCTGGCGAGCTCACCAACATTCTCGTCTCGACCGACGTCACAAGATACCTCGAGTTCAAGCAGGTTGCAGGCAGCTACGTCCAGCAGGGCCAGAGCTCCAAGGCCACTGTTGCCAAGGTTCCCTCCGATGCCGGCGAGGCTCTGCGTTCGCCCCTGATGGGCATCTTTGAGAAGCGCCGCATGAAGAGCTTCATCGAGTGGATCGGCACCTTTGACCGCAAGGACCCCGGCACACACAAGGGTGAGTTTCGACATTTCGAAGCATTGAGGGATGGCGGAATCGTGGGACAGGACTGACAGTCATGCGCTAGGCCTCGACATCAACAATGTCACCATGAAGGAGGTCTACGACAAGTTCGGTCTCGAGACCGGTACTCGTGACTTTATCGGCCACGCCATGGCTCTCTTCACCACGGACGAGTACCTCACTAAGCCTGGTGCCGCCCCCGAGGCCATCGAGCGCATCCGCCTGTACGGAACCTCTGTGTCCCGCTACGGCAAGTCCCCTTACATCTACCCTCTCTACGGTCTCGGCGAGCTTCCCCAGGGCTTCGCCCGTCTGTCTGCCATCTACGGTGGTACCTACATGCTTAACACCAACGTCGACGAGGTGCAGTACGAGGGCGGCAAGGCTGTCGGTATCAAGGCCACTATGACTGGCGTTGAGGAGATGAAGTTCGAGACCAAGGCCAAGATGATCCTTGGTGACCCCAGCTACTTCCCCGGAAAGGTCAAGGTTGTCGGACAGGTTCTGCGCGCCATCTGCATTCTGAAGCACCCCTTGGCCGGCACCAACGACGCCGACTCTTCCCAGCTCATCATTCCCCAATCCCAGATTGGCCGTAAGAACGGTAAGTGCAGTGTAACCGAAAAGTGAAACTTGAATGCACGACTCATTGAAGCTAGATATCTACATCGCCTGCGTGTCATCGGCACACAACGTTTGCCCCAAGGGCTACTGGATTGCCATCGTTTCGACCATTGCTGAGTCGAACGCCAACCACCACGTCGAGCTTCAGCCAGGTCTGGAGCGCCTCGGCAAGATCGAGGAGCAGTTCATGGTAAGAGAGAAGCCCGAGTCCGCGCAGTGTAAGAAACAGGGTACTAATTCTTTTGAAGGGCGCCCCGATCCCCATCTACGAGCCCACGGATGACGGCACCGGCGACAACGTCTTCGTCTCCAAGAGCTACGACGCCAGCAGTCACTTCGAGAGCACGACCGATGATGTCAAGGATATCTACCGCCGCGCCACCGGCGAGGAGCTCAAGGTTGAGGGTCTGAGAGAGGGCCTGCAAGTTGCGGATGAGCAGTAAGCGCAAGGGGATGCTTTATTGAAACTTTTGTTTTCAAGCGGGTGAGGGGAGGAGGGAGCAAGTCTGAGAGGCATTGTGTCCTCGCACATCATAACAGACGGCAATCCGGGGTATATATATAACATATCTTGGACGTAAACATCTGAGGGTGGTGCTCTTCAAAGTTATTCAAGCCATTTTACCACATTCTTCGGTTCCGTATGCC